AGCAGTGTGGGATGCACAGAGGTGCAAAATACTTTTAAACAAGTTATTTAAAATAAAAAAGTCATGCTGATCGTGCAGCTCATCCATCAGTCAGTGAATTGTGTCATGTCCACTCTTATTTTGAAAAACCGCAATAGAGTGAGTCTGCGATAAACAAACCGTGAAGTAGCGAGGGACTATTGTACACTTATTTTAACTACATTCTTACTGTAGTTTATTGTTGTTGTTTACTGTTATTGTTGTCTGTACTTTATCTGTTCTGTCGGGAACAGGTCCCTCTTGTAAATGAGTCCTCGCGGCTCCATGAGACTAGCCTGTATAAATAAAGATTGACTGAAAAACAACAACTGAAAAGCAACAAGTTTGTTCAAGTGTTGTTGTTTGTTTTAAAATTAGCCAGGCTTTGCAATGCATTTTTTTTTGTAACGCAAAGTGTGAGAAGAAAAAAGCCTCGGGGAGTTTGCAGCGTTTCCTCCGTAGGAAAAGCTCCGTGCCATCTGGTCCTTGTTTTATTTCTGCAGTTGCTCTTTCCGTGTACAACAACAAGCCTGCGCATGATGATTTCTAATGCGCGGCGACATTTGGTCTTCTGATAAATTCAGACAGACTACAGCTCAATCTAATAAAGGATGCAGCACACATTAGCATATCACACATGCTGCACCTATCTGTTGATCACAAATGCATCTCACAACAACTCCAACTGTGACGCTGCTGCAGTGAAGCCTTTGGAGATGGCTGTGCGTTACTTTGAGACAGGTGAGATGAAACGCACGTGCACCAGCATGCAATGAGCTGGAGGCTTATTTCAGTGTTTTTTACTCACTTCATAAACTTTAGCTTCAGAATGGCTCGACAGATTAGGTTTGGCAATGAGCTCCTGCGTCTGTTCTTTTGAACGTTCAACGAAGACGTAGGACAAAGTAGCATCGAGGTTTGAACAAGGTGAAACAGCAGTCGTACGGTTTACCACATCTGATAAAAAGACACGTTTTACATGAAGTATACATGTTGCTGTGAGTACTGTAGAATGGTGCCTCCATGTAAAACTGTGCAAAGACTTTATTCAAGAAGCGTATGTTCAAGCCAGATAAACATTTCCTCGTCTACACAGAGCTCCTCTGGTCGCTGAATTATCCACTAACAAAAATAATCGCAGTGGTTTTCTTTAACTTTGTTGCCAAAAAGAAAAAAACATTCTAGTTGTGTGTCAGGTGGTTGCAGAGGATTTGTAAGGAGCCTCCAGAGTCCATGAGAACCTCTTCGTAAATTCACCCGAGCTGCAGGGAGACCCGCGGAGCTGTGCCTGGTTGTTTCTTTCAACTTTATCCACGCACTGTTAAATCAGTAAACCTTTTAAACTACTTATTTATCTACAGCAACAAAATACACGTAGAAACCAACCCTTGGAAAATCAGACATTTTAAAGGGATCCATTCATGGAGCCATCCTTTGACAGCTGTATTGGAACCAGGGCTGTTCACAAAGTACTGGTGCTTGCTGAAGGTCACACTGATGAGTAGAAGCAGCTGAAATGAGGCAGAATTTTATTTCCTTGCTTCTCTTTGATTAACTAACATAATTACCTCTCAGACCCAGTTCTGCAAAGAGGTAAAAACCGTGAAAGGGTGACAGACCGACGGCGTTAGGTGAAGAGTGTAACCTCGAGGAGTGAGCGTAGGCGTACGACGCAGCTTTGTATAGACGGGGCGTCACGTACAGCTCCTTCCAGATGATCCAAGTTTGTAAAGATGAACAACACTAATACCTCCATCCTTCTAACCGAGAAACCAGTTCATCACCACAACTGATCGCAAAAAGAGGAATTATTTCTCATTATGTGTATGAATTTCAACCTAGTTGGCTTGAAATAAGACGGAAATTAACAAAAGTGTTTAAATAAAGTGGAGAAAAAACTTTTTATTAAAACACAAAAAAGTAAGCTCAGTTAGTGCAGTAAGACAGGATAAGAAACATACGTCATGAATCCTGTCTGGTTGATCTGCTGCAGACATACAGGTGCTGGTCATAAAATGAGAATGTCATGAAAAAGTTGATTTATTTCAGTAATTCCATTCAAAAATAAAACTTGTATTCATTCATTACACACAGACTGATATATTTCAAATGTTTATTTCTTTTAATGTTGATGATTATAACTGACAACTAATGAAAGCCACAAATTCAGTATCTCAGAAAATTGGAATATTACTTAAGACCAATAAAAAAATAATTTTAGAAATGTTGTCCAACTGTAAAGTATGAACATGAAAAGTATGAACATGTTCAGCATCAGTACTTGTTACAGTGCATCATGGCATGGAGTCCATCAGTCTGTGGCTCTGCTCAGGTGTTCTGAGAGTCCAGGTTGTTCTGATCGTGGCCTTCAGCTCTTCTGAATTGTTGGCTCTGGTGCATCACATCTTCCTCTTCACAATACCTCATAGATGTTCTATGGGGTTAAGGTCAGGCCAGTTTGCTGGCCAGTTAAGAACAGGGATACCATGGTCCTTAAACCAGGTACTGGTATCTTTGGCACTGTGTGCAGGTGCCAAGTCCTGTTGGAAAATGAAATCTGCATCTCCATAAAGTTGGTCAGCAGCAGGAAGCAGGAAGTCTCTAAAACTTCCTGGTAGATGCTGCGTTGACCTTGGACCTCAGAAAACACAGTGGACCAACACCAGCCGATGACATGGGCCCCAAACCATCACTGTCTGTGGACACTTGACACTGGACCTCAAGCAACATGGATTCTGTGCCTCTCCTCTTCCTCCAGACTCTGGGACCTTGATTTCCAAAGGAAATGTAAAATTTACTTTTATCATAGAACATAACTTTGGACCACTCAGCAGCAGTCCCAGGCGAGACACTTCTGATGCTGTCTCTTGTTCAAGAGTGGCTTGACACAAGGAATGTGACAGCTGAACCCCTTGTCTTGCATATGTCTGAGCGTGGTGGTTCTTGAAGAACTGACTCCAGCTGCAGTCCACTCTTTGTGAATCTCCCCCACATTTTGAATGGGTTTTGTTTCACCATCCTCTCCAGGGTGCAGTTATCCCTTCTGCTTGTACACTTTTTTCTACCACATCTTTTCCTTCCCTTCTCCTCTCTATTAATGTGCTTGGACACAGAGCTCTATGAACAGCCAGCCTCTTTAGCAATGACCTTTTGTGTCTTGCCCTCCTTGTTCAAGGTGTCAATGGTCTTCTTCTGGACAAGTGTCAAGTCAGCAGTCTTCCCCATGATTGTGTAGCTACAGAACTAGACTGAGACCATTTAAAGGCCTTTGCAGGTGTTTCGAGTTAATTATCTGATCAGACTGTGGCACCAGGTGTCTTCAGTATTGAACCTTTTCACAATATTCTCATTTTCTGAGATACTGAATTTGGGGTTTTCATTAGTTGTCAGTTATAATCATCAACATTAAAAGAAACAGACGTTTGAAATACATCAGTGTGTGTGTACTGAATGAATATAATATACAAGTTTCACTTTTTGAATGGAATTACTGAAATAAAATAAACTTTTTCATGATATTCTAATTTTATGACCAGCACTTGTACCTCCCACAGCGCTGTCTGAGGTCAGCAGACCAGATGCTTTCACTGGTTCCAGGCACTTGTTTAAGCTCAGAGGTGACAGAACCTTGTCTGGTCCAAACTGTGGACTGAGTTACCACTGGCTCCCTCTCTCACTGTTTTTAAGTCTCATTTGAAAACTCACTTTTATTCTCTGGATTTTGACAGTGTGAGCTGATTTAACTTCTGTTTTCTATCATGTTAGTCGTTTAGCTCTTCACCTCTGTGGATCCATGGATTTTATTCTGTGTTCGTCACCTGATTGTTTTGTTGTACAGCACTTTGGTTGGCCTTGTTGCTGCTTTAAGTACTTTATAAATAAAGTGCTATGGTATAAAGTTTTGTTCTGTTTGCCATTTTATAATCTGGTCATAATGAAGTGGTTTTTTTATGATTTATATATTTTACAAAGAAATCCCTGTGCTCTGCTAAACATTTTTCTGTTGGGTTTATTTTAGCCTTTAAAATGTTTTGAAACACAATAAATCCTTTGTTTCTTTTGTCATTGTGTTTTCTGCTTTAAATCATGGGCAGGGTTTATTTATACATAAACAATTTAAACTAAAATGGTCCAAAACTTTGTAAAACCACTCTTTCTAAACCTGAAACGTCTCTAAATGTATTTTCTTAAGACACCTGGAATTGATTCACGTGTGTTTTAATGGCACTTGTCATTTTTTACAAATGATTTTTCCAAGAAACTCGAATAGCAAGAGCCCACTGAAAGAAATATAAATGTAAAAATGCAAGGCGAAACAAAGCAGACATGAATCATGCACAGCCGAGTCAATGAAAACCGAAAAATCTATTCACATGCTCCAATTTGACTACGGGCCGACCTCGACTATTTTCGAGATGAAAGGGACACAAATTGTGTTGGACAACTGGAACAACGATTGTGCACCGTCGAGGGTTTAATGTCAAAACAGCGGTCTAGAAAACTGACAATGCACACCAGCCAGAGGCCCCGAGGCGTACTTCTCAGAACTGCAGTCGTGTTACTGCCTCCACAGCAGCAGCTCCGAAACAGTGCGCCGGCTGAATTCCTCAGATTATCGAGTGTGACCTCACGGTGCCGTAACCCGGCGGTGACTCGGCTGCATTTGCATTTGATTGTTTCATTATGTGTGTTTCACGTCCCCGTGTCCCCGTGTCAGCTCGACAAAGACCAGCTCATGTCCATTTATTGTACTCGCTGATTACAAAGAGTCTGATTGATGACGGAGCGAGGATTTAATTATGTTTATTGAACTGATGCAAGGAATAAATGTGACGACTGTTCATCAGAAGCGTAAGCCTTCGTGAGCAGCAAAAGACCATTTTCTTCCTAAAATAGCTGAGTGGTGTTGAATTGCAGCGGGCCCTGCACCCCGGTGACTTACAAACTGATTTATTCAGTCATTACCGTGAGTGATCGGCCCTTCAAAACTCTCCTCTATTATCTCCAGATGGGATGACGAACCATATTTCATTCTGATTCAAGCCTTTACTGCAGTGATTCAGGGTAAAGACCACCTGCCGGTAACTCAGAGAGGCACCTATCTCTGCCCCCAGCACACACACGCACACACGGTAAAGACGAGCATTGCTTACCATTCTGAATGTCCAGTATGTGATGTTTGTCTAACATCCACCCGCCCACGTTGGAGGCATCCAGTTCGTAGCCTTGTAACATGGCAGTCCTCTTCTCCCAGAGCACCACATCAAGGCAGGACTCGTACTCATATCCCACCGACACTGAAAGTAATGGCAGCAGAAACCCACGGTGAGCAAGGCTTCAACCCTTTCACTTGACACTTATAGCAGCAATGAGGCTTGTAGCTTGGAAGACGTTCAGCGCGTGTTGCAGTTGTTTTATGCATCTGCTGGTTTCTGCTGGCTCTTCGTCTTTGCTGGCTGGGAGGATTTTAGGAGACCTGTGGGGCTTCCACGTCTCACCTGCACTGTTTGGAGATTATGTGCTCTGCTCTTATTCACCCTGTGTAAATGCAAATGAAGCACGATGCAAAGCTGTGCGTAAAGTGGGCTGAATTATGTAAACAATAAAGGCTCAGATGGAGCCCATTAAAGTAAATGTTATAAATGCTGCAATATGGTGAACGCTACGAGCCGTATCTTTTATGATTGTGCTCCAGAGTTTATCCTTCATAACAATATCCACCAGTTCTTTAGAGAGTTTTACAACTTTGTCAGCAGACGGTTAAGATGCAGCATGCACTTCTGCAACAGAGCAGGCACAAACTCGTTATCTGGATGCTTCAATTATCTTCACAGACAAATTATCCAGCACGTATCATTTGGTCAAAGATTTTATTTTGTAAAACAGTGATTTGTATCTTGACTTCTTGCATACTTATTTTTAAACCGTTTTTCCAGCCACTGCTTCATAGGCAGTATTTTGATTCGTGCACAGCTGCTGAGATATCATACATGCAAAACAAACAAGTCAGCAAAAGAAGCAATGGCCTTCAAAAATGCAGCTCTGTGGGGATTTCAGGATTTCACAACAACTGCTACATCTTTATTGCTCACGGAAACAAAAGCAGTCCCCAGCTAAATAATCTTCAATTGCAAAACAAGTAAAATCAATTTCTGGAAGTTCAAGCAGGGTTCAGTGCCTGAAGGCGTCTGACGGTGAACCCGTGCTCGCACAACATCTTCACAGCGGGGACTCACCCACAGCTTCTGCCAGGCCAAAGACCTTCTGATTGTAGGCGTCTGTTTTATCCCAGATGAAGGTGTAGGAGAGGTCGGGGAAGGCGGGGAAAGACTTCTGGAACTGACGGCCCATGACAGCCACCATCAGGTGCACCTTCATCAGGCCGAAGGGGAGACGATCCTGGGTCAGCAGCACCTTGAGGATGGGCTTGTAGCCAGCTGCCCTGGAGCTCAGGTAGACCAGGTTGAGGTCACTGCCTGGTATGGCCACTTGTTCATGAAGTACCTGTGATTTTAATTAGCAGTCAGACTGGTGTCAAAGCCAGTGTGAAGTGTAGACGAAAACAGCTAAAAGGAGCAGCGGGAGTGGATATTTATCTTGGAGAATGACCGTCATCACATGAAACAACGTTGCTGAGCGGTCTGCAAACACTGGGATGATTGGACACGGGGCTTAGCCTACAGACATCAATGAGTTCTTTATTTTTAGTCATAAAAAAAACAAGTTTTACTGTTTTTTAAGAGTCTCTGTTTGCACCTGAAGCTGTAATTATGCAGAAACACACAGATTTGCTTTTCTCAGCTGAAATGTAACACAGATTTGTTCAGACTTTAAAAAAAATGGCAAAAACTGCAAGTTAGTGATTCTCAACAGTGATTTTAGTAAACTGGCTGCAAATCAAAATCCATAGGCCTGCAACCAGAGAATATCTTTATCGCTGCTGCTGTGACAAAATTTATTGCTTTGTATTTGGGGAGATGCTTCAATTCAATAAAGACCCAAAGGCAGGCTGAAAGGCCAATCTGACTCTTGAAAAGGAGCAACACGAGTCATGGTGGAATGAAGATAACAACGTAATTATTTTTAATACTGCAGTCTGATATGTTGGGATCAAACGGGTCATTTCATGGCAGTCATCCCGAACAATCAGATATGAGGTGAACTTTAGAACGCTATGAAACCCTTTAATACGAGTCACCTCTGCTGTCCCACCTGAGTCTCTGGGATGATGGGGCTGTCTTCTGGGGATGTCTTGTACAAAGTGGAGAGTGGCGAGGCCAGGATGAGGGGGTTGGGTCTGACCAGACCGGTCAGGTAACAGCTGGGGATGTCGTTCTCCTCCCTCTTCATCACCACTGTGTCCATCACGTGGAAGACGTTCCAGGGCAGCCATACGGTGCGGTGCAACGTGGGGAACGGGGCTCGCTCATAACTCAGCGTCAGAGAGGCGCCGCCGTTCACCAAGAGGTCAAACCTTAACACAATGAAACAAAAGTAAAACTTTCATTCCACTTTGAGTCTGACACTCATAGATTATGATTTAAATGTGTATATCTCAAATAAGGTAAACTGAAAACAAGTCAACTGTTCGGAATAGAATCCAAAATCTTACTTCTAACCTACAAAGCCCTCAACAACCTAGCTCCATCTTATATCACAGATCTTAGTGTTTCATATTTTCCTAACAGAGCACTGTGCTCTCAGACTGCAGGTTTACTTGTGGTTCCTAGAGTTTCCAAAAGCAGAATGGGAGGAAGATCTTTCCAACTGATCGATGAGGAAACCAGCTGAATAAACATTGTGTCATCATTTCAGGACTCTTGGATTCTCATAGACGTTATTCTTGGCCATTCCTCGACATGCCTCGAGAATGTTTACGGATCTCACGGGAGGACACTGGCTGATTATTACATCCCTATCAGAACTCTTACAGTGCCCTCGAGAGCGTCCATGGACATTGCTCACAGCTCTTGTCGTCTCCCCCCTCTGCAGATTGTCTATGTCACGATGTGCTTGTTTGTGTAAGGTGTTTTTTAATAATAAAGTTTTTCTCCGCAGCCAAGAAGAAAAAGTCTGATAGGAATTTTTCCGCCTCCAATTCCTACATGTGTCCAGTTTCACTACTTTTTGTCTAAACAGATCTCACTTGTAAATGCGTCTTCTAGGCTCTGTGTGACTTATCTGTCTAAATAAAGGTTGAATGAATGAAAAGTTCTCAGGCTCCTCTCTTGTGGAACCAACTTCCAGTTTCTGTCCATGAGCCTGACACATTGTCCAGTTATAAGACTGGGCTTAAAATGTTCCTTTTGATAAATCCTATAGTTAGGGTTGGCTTGGGTTTCCTGAGTTATTCCTTAGTTCTGCTGCTATATACATTAGACTGCTGGAGGACAAACTGACTTCATGTCCTCTCTCAGCTGCTGTCTTTACTTGCTCTACTCTCCATGTTTGTAATTATTTCTATCTTAATATGATTTTTTTTTGTATTTCCTCCTATAGAAAGTTCACCTGGACTATAGAAAGTTCACCTGGACTATAGAAACCACACTTGGGCTATAGAAAGTTCACCTGGACTATAGAAAGTTCATCTGGACTATAGAAACCGCACCTGGACTATAGAAAGTTCACCTGGACTATAGAAACCCCACCTGGACCTGTCATTCTGTGTTCGTCTGTCTCTACTTCCTGTCCTCTCAACCAGCTGGTCGAAGCAGATGGTTGCTCATCTTGAACTGGTTCTTCTGGAGGTTTCTTCTGTTAAAGGGAGTTTTTCTTCCCACTGTCTCCTCTGTTCTTGCTCAGGATGAGAGACTGAGATGAGGTGAAGATTCAACACAACCTGCTGCTTCCTCAGAGAGAGAACTTTTAAAAACTGATTTTTATAAATGAATGTTTCTGTTCAGGGTCCTGAGGCGACTTCTGTTGTGACTTGGTGCTTTATGAAGAAACAAGCGAATTGAAATAGTTTTACTACTGAACACACTTTATGTGTAGACAAAGCCACATGTTACAATCTTTAAATTATTAATAGTTATAATATTTATAATAGTAATTATTTATTTTAGCCAAATATTCTGTAAAAACATGTATGAAGAGAGAAACAAGAAAAACTTGTTAGTAACGTCCCATTCCAGGAGGTCTTCATCACTTTTTGGATATTATTTTATGAGTGGTGGAATAAAACAGCAATATTCAGGTCCTTTACTACTTAAAGCTCCAATCAGCAATGTTAAAATGAATTATAGTGTTTTATTATTATAAATATATATAAAATGATACACCAGGAAACTTAAAGAGTTGTGAAAGTACAATATATTTACTGGTAATAATATATAAATATTTTGACAGACATGGAACCAAACTGATTAAAAGAAATGTTTGTTTTCATGTCTGAATGTTTGTCTAGTATTTAGTTTTAATTTAAATATTTCCTTATAATAGTGGTTCATAATTAACAAATTCCAAAAATGTGACCCTGACTAGAGTCTGTTTTTTGTGTCTCAAAAACTAAAAACCGTGTGAAGCGCTGCAGTGATTTTAAATAAATGCTGAATTTTAATAGTCAGTTGAGCAAAAAAGAAAAAGTTTCTGGAAGTTTGTGAATAAAGTAGCAAACATACGAGATGATGTGAGGTCGAAGCCGGCAGCGTTGCTAAGTGTAAAAACTAGTGAAAGTAGTTTTGTCTTCTGTTGTTTTTTCATTTTTTACTGTTCGTTTTAATAAGAAAATGTTCCGAAGTTTCCTGGTTTCGTTTTTCACGACCATTAAAGCAGAATCAACTTTCCCATTTCAAACCAGAGCCATAAATTCAGCCTCTATGTTTCATTATCATTCAGTGAATCTAATTTATAACTTTTGCTCGACCAAGCATGATGCAGGCAGAAAGTTTATGGCTGAATTTGGTTTGGGGGGGTGAGCGCGGGGAGTTTCCTCTGGTGAACTGGTAATTAGCTCAACGTTACTCAGGAAAAGTTGCTGGTTTGGAAATGAAGGGCGAGTCTTTGAAGTGCTGCTCTATATATTCGGTGAGCTTCGCTACCCAGGGGGCGCAGCATCTGTGTGGTGACATTGCATGCATTCCCGCGTACAAAGACACACTCGCAGATTTGGATGCTTATGCACGCCTCTCGTGCACGCACCGACGACCAGAATTACACACATACACGCGCGCCAGCAGCCAAGCTGTGCAGCTGACCCAAAACAGCTTCCTTCTCAAGCTCTCTCCTCTTTTGGGCAGTGGGGAGCTCACAGCTGCAAGAGGCCAGGCTTTGATGCTGCACCCCCCCTCTTCACACACTGAGCAGATCTGTTGGCTAACCAAGTGTGATTATCCCCTTCCATTTATCACGCTCCTTGTCAGAGAGTTACAGGGCGGAATATCTGAAGAAATCAGCTAATCCTCAGCTGTACGGGGACCCAAGGATTGTGATTCCTAACAACAGCTGCACAGTCCTCTGCCACTCAAACTGCAACTTATAAACATGGGTTTATCTGCTGAAGTTGAACCGCAGGCCTGGTTCAGAATTTCCACTACTGTCTAGAACATGAAGCTCCACCCTGGACATCCCAGCGAGATGTGCGACGTACGTTTTCCTCGTACTTCCATCATGACGGGCCTCTCTGTGGTAACAGCAAGAGAAGGTCAAACAGTAATCCATGTTTTACTCTGTGGGCAGGTTGATGCCGCCCGCGCTGATTCAGTGCATTTTAAACAGAGTGGTTTCAAAATGGCCCCCACCACTGTGGCATTTGCATGAAGAATTATTTTAGGCACTGGTGTCAGAAGCATTTGTAATGTGGAGGTCTGGGGGTCCTCCCCCAGAAGAGTTTGAATAACGTAGATGCCATTTCCTGCATTCTGGTGTATTTTAACAGGTTGTCAAACAGCTACATTTACCTACATAAGTAAACACTTGATTCAACAACTATATTAGAGAGCAACAAGACGTAGCCTGACCAACAGCTCTCCCTGTGTGAATTGAGCACGCTCCGCTTCTCTCACACATCCTAACCTCCCACCCCCGTCAACACCTGTCAGCACTAACGTGGTGCTAAGCTAGGGCACAAAACAGAGGTGTCTCCCCCTCGTTCCCCCGCGAGCGTCCTGCCAAGGCACATGACCGAGGAGGAACACCTCATACGGTGAGAAGTTGTTGCAGGTAACCAGGAAAACCCGGAGTGGACTTTTAGTGATTTGAGTATTCTCCTTTTAATCAAGTGGAATGGATTAGTGCACAAAGAAATAGAAACATTGCTGGGTGAACTAATATTTCACGATAAATGTGGGGGGTCTGAGTGATTTTTTTTTTTTAAGTGGGGGGGGTGTCCCCTTCACATATAATTGTTGTTGATTTGAAGGCACAATGCGCTGCTGTTTCCATTTGTTTGGAGTATTTCTGGACAACCGCCAGGACGACCCCCCTTCCCCCCCGCCCTCAAAGTGTCCATATGTCACAAAGCTCTTTTAAAGAACTCAGGTCAAACCTCAGGACATGAACCCCACAGAGAGGCTGTGATTTCCCCAAATGGTGCACCTACTGCTACACGTGCGCACAGGGGGCCCTTACATGCCGTCTTGCCGTGTGATGGTGTAGCCGTACGGCGAGTAGTGAAGGAAAGACACGTTGACTCCAATCAGCGGCGTCCCGTCTCCTGTTAGGACCTGCCCCCGAATGACTGACGCCAGGCTGTGCAGGACAAACAAACAAGAGAAAGGCCTTAGTAAACAAACAGTGCCAGCCGGCATCAACAGCAGCGACTGCATCAGCACAACTATCAGCTGTCGTGTCTTTGCCCGCGGCACGAGGAAGTGGGGATGATTTACTGACCATCAGGAACACACACACGTCAGGGACTGTTACTCATGAAAACGCCACCTCACAAAGCTGCTCTCGAGTCTGTTTACTGCTTTTAAAAACCCATAATTCACCCGCAGAAGGGCTTCGGCTAATGTTTGCTGCATCTTGCTCATTTATTGCAGCATTTATAATCCAACAGAACACAGACACATATATTGCTTTGCAAATTAAAAAGTTTCATTTTGACAGAATCCGTCACGTAGACTCTGCATGAGACCCTGAATTACATGAAGTTATCACCAGAGACTAAAACGCAAAATAGAAAAATGACACACTTTGCACATGCGTTTTATTTTGACAGTCTATAGAATATATTTATATAGTTTGAAGTTTAGATTATGCCAGCTGCAGTATATCTTAACAATGGAAAGGTTTCATTAGAGTTCTGATCTTTTTTTTTAAGTTCATCTTAAGAAAAGCTTCATGGATTCTGATTGGTCATCTTGGGTTTCAACTTGTTTTTCTATTTATTTATTTTAATGAAACACAGTTTCTAATTATTTATTTATGGTGTAGCAAAGAGACAAGTTAAATATGTTTTAACTGCTTCTGTGTGTGTAGTGCAGTGTACTAAATGTGAGTGTATTCCAAAGGGCATACTTTATTTTGAAAGGCTAAACACAACACCAAGTTCTACAAAGATTAAAAGATAAAATTTCAAATCGCTACAGAAAAACACAATGGCCAGTGAAGTGTGAAATACAGCAAAAAAAAGTATTTTAAATAAGAAAAATAAGTGTGAGATCTTCAAAGTATTGTTATTACTTTCACCCTGCTGAATTATTTATTTGACCTGAGTCCACGTGTGATGAACAGAAGAAGGTTTGCTGCTACAGAAACCTTTAGTCCGTCCCATCCCAGTCTGAAGCAGGAAGTGTGATAAGTATCAGTGGTAATACTTGGAGTCCAACATATTGACGAGACTCGTGTTGGAACAGCTCCTCACTTTGTTCCACGTGTCCTCTTGATGTAAGATGTTCAAATGCTCAGCGGCTGCTGTGTCAAGAGACACTTTAGAGCAATTCAGAGCTACAAAATGTGACGCTGGAGGCAAACTGTTGTAAAAGAAAGACGAGGGCTGGTGAGAGGAAAGTGATCCTGCAGCTCTGAACAGGATCACTGAGAAGTTTAGCAAGGTGTGAGAAGGACGGGGACAAAAACATCTATTTGCATTCAGGAAGCACAAAATGGTCAATTGTGGAAAATCAGAACAGGAAGAATTTTGTAAAAAAAATGGCCCCATTTTTTAAAACATATCCTCTTTTTCAACGATTATTTCTGCAAACATCCACAGCCTGTGCTTTGTATAACTCACCCCCCCACTGCTGGCTAAGCATTAATGCCACTTGAGCAGATAGGGGGTTAAATACTTCACTTCAGGCCACCACTGGGGTAGTTAGTCTTGGTATGGGAGAGCATTATTCATCCAGTATCCCCGCTCATATTTTCCTGCTGGTAAATGGATTTGCTTGTGGTCCAAAGGCTCTCCACCCTCAGCTTCCCCTTCCCTTCTTTCACCTGAAACAACAATACGTTCATCTGCATTTTGTGTGTATAAATCACATACGCAGAGGATTCACCCATGATTTAAGAGGCTGGCATCTTGCACCATTATTCAACACGACTGCGGGGCCTTCAGGTAGAACTTGTCCAACACCAACTCTTACTCCTAAATTCACGGGCGTGCCGTCGTTTGTTAAGTCGGTCCCGTGTTTGAAGGTACGAGGGAGGCAGACGACGCCATGTTTCTCCATCCTCATTAACTAATTCAGCGCTTCTGAAGGTGGGGTTTGAAAGGCGTTCTCTGCATTTGTCATCGGTGGACAAAAAGTGCTCATTTTGCCACTTTATCTCCAGGTCATTACATACATGAGACGGGATGATGAACAGCGTGAGCTGCTCTCTTACTTCTCTGCCGCTCCGTGCCTTGCACGGCGTCTCCCATCGTTTATTTACCGGCTCACAAAAAAACAAGGCCACTTAAGAGCTCCGGCAGAGGCTCACTCTTCATTCGCTGTGTCTCTATTAATCTTTGGAGAGGCAGATGGATGATGCAGGAACTCAAGCCCCAAAACAAACGCAAACTAACACCACCTGCTGGAACTCCACAAATGAATCATATAATGTGTGCATTTTTATCTGTTGTCCCGCTCTGGCTGGAGAAAAACACCATCTGAAGACCCAGTGGGAGACTTGTGGGGACATGTGATACGGCTGAGGAGCTGTTGTGGAGACGCAGGCTGGGGGAGGAGGGGGGCGGCACGACACCACAACACATGTTTTATTCTCTGTGCTGTGCACGAGACAAGTTCACCAGCGAGCTCTGAAGTGCACACTGAAATCCACTCCCTTCCTCTTGGCTCACACAACAGCTTCTGACCAAAGAAGGAAAGAAAGAGAGGAATGACCTCTAAGTATTTCCAATTTCTGTTCTGTTCCACGTCGGGCACTCTGAGACGAGGTACAACAGCCACCGCTGCGCTGAAAGTCGTCTTCATTGTTGCAGCGATTCAAAGACTTCTTCATGAAGCATGTTTTGCAAAGGCTACCAATAAATTATGCACTCTGTAACCCAGAAATGAATGTTAAAACAGAGCTTTCAAACAAACTCCACCACTTTTAGGTTGACTTTTAAAAAAGTGTTCATGCATGAGCAAAGTATTCAGGCTGCTCAGATAACAAAAAAAAAGGTTATTAATTTAGTCAAAGTTAGTGGCATATATGCATGAGGAACAACTAAAATTCTGTTTTTGACTAAAAAACTAACTTTTAAAGAAGATAAAAAAGGCAAAGGAAATTTCTGAGCAATGGAGCTAATGCCACAAGCAGACATGCCATCGACAGTAAGCTGAAGACAATGAGGAGGAGGATTACCAAGAACCCAGCTAAGGGGAATTGTCTCTTTCTATATTTTCAGTAAAGCACGATATTTACATGAGGATTACTTTAAACTGTTGGATGAAATAATCCCAAAGCCTTCAACACACAGTTGGTAATCATTTTCTCTCCATCAATCCCCCAAAAAACTTGTGAATCTGAACAAATGTGATGCTACACTAAGTTCTTTTTAATTGAAAAGCAGAACTGTTTCTTTAGTGTTCGCACTGATGTCGTCTTTTCATTGTCTAGAAGTTTGGGAGGTGTTTTGCAATCAATTTCTTTACCGCGGAAATGTCAGCGCCAATGAAAACGTGTCAAACTGAAATTCTTGCCAGAAGTTGAATAAAAACCGATTAAAACATAGATTCAATTAATTCAGATGTGAAAACAGTTTAAATGCATTTAAATCCGGTTAAAGGTAAGAACGAAACACTTAAAGAGGTTATCGTGAACTTGATCAGACGGTGACGTTTGAAACAGTTTATCACAGAAACATTAAACACAGTTCTGAATTGGGGGTCCACACTCAGTGTAAACAAAACACTTGAATCTGTGATAAATCACGTCGATCGTTGAGTCACATGACTGACCTGATGACGGCTGATCAAACTCTGCAGATACATAAATGTGAGGTTAAAGTCTGAATCGGCTCTTTCTGCAGGTGAACAAAGACACGTTGACATCGGGTCACTGATTCTGATCATTCATCATGTATGGAGGAGATTTTGTTTCCTGTTTCCTACATAAATATATATATATATATATATATATATATATATATATATATACATATATAAAATGGTATGGTACATGAGGAGTTTTTCAATGAATAACATAAAACCTTATCTGGCAACCAACGTGGGTAAAATATCTTGGAAAAACATGCAAAAGACAAGAATTTATTTAGTTTAAAGTGACCCCAAGAGGAGGAGATGAAACATTTCTATTTTTTATTTTTTGCTTTGTTTTGTTTTTTGAATGTCCAGAGGACCAGATTGAACTTTTTTAGAGGAGACAGGAAAGTTGTTCATTTTAACTCATTTGTTCGAGCAACAGTAAAAAGTTTACCATCTATTCACAGCAAACTATCTAAAATATTATCATTATTATTTGATGTTTTATTGTTAAGAAATAGTTTGAAATAAGTGTAAGGTGCGCTCAGTAATATTGAAGTTATTTGTCTTGAAGTGTTCTAGCCTCAGATGCACAAAAAAAAAAAAAAAAAAAAAAAAAAAA